CAAGACAGCCCAGGAGGGGCTCTCGGAGGGCGCAAGAGGTCTCCAAGATGGCTCAATGAACCCCCAAGAGGCCCCCAAGACAGGCCAAGAGGGACCCGAGTCTGCCCATGAGGGGCCCAAGACGGCCGAAGATGCTGTCAAGACAGCCCCAGAGGGCTCAAGACACCCCATGAGGGCCTGAAGAGGCGAAAATCATAGATTCCCTATTGGTTGTGGATCGCACACCGCAAATTGTTGGCATTTGCGCGCCAGGCCCTTCTTTCAGAAGGCCGAGCGCTTGAAAGAAATCCAGCCACATGAGCGACGATCAAAACGGGTCTTACGCGAGATGACGTAGCGACCTTACGCCGCGGCTTACGCGGGCCGCTAGCGCGTCACGCGCTATTGGAAACGAGGGCGCTTACGCGCGAGCTTACGCGGGCAGCTTACGCGCCAATGTCGGCGCAGACGACCCCGTTCTCTTGCGTCGCTCACATATTTATCCAGCTCTCGCCCAGGCCGGCCGCGTCACGTACCCAGCTTCCCTGTCAGAAGCCCCTCGGGCGCCGCGTGTACAGATGGGTAGGCGCCCGTTGCCGCGCGCTGCCGCCGCGCTGCTCGGCATCGCTCTGGCTTGCGATGCTTCGCGTTGCTTCGCATGGCGCTGCATGACGTCACACAGGCCGCACTCATCCCACCGGTCCTCTGGGCGCAGGTGGTTTAGAGCGCTTCCTCTGCCGACAGCCTTCTTCCAATTCGGGAAGGGGCTATCCCCCCCCCCAAGAAGCTTTCCCAACTCGCCTAGCCACGCGAAGAAGAGTCCTCTTGCGGCCATGTTGGTGCCCTTGGGGGTAGCACTTCTGGCTTCTCTTGGAACATCTAGAAGCCTCTTGAGAGCTTCTCGGAGGCCTCCTGGGGGTCACCTTCGCGCATAGGACACACTTCTACGTCTGACGCGATCGGCCTTGTCGCGATCTGCAACACTTCCTAGGCCTTCTTAGGGGTCCCCTTCGGTGGTCAGCAATAAAAGAGCCCTAACCCTTTGGGAGGGGACCAAAGTTAGGAGGGCCAGGAACATTACGGATAGGGAGTCTTTTCTGCATATGTATCAGGCCAAACAGCCCTGGTCTATTATCCCGAATGCGGAGACGGAAACCTCAGTGCGGCCACGTCTTCATCATGTTATTTGGGTTAGGGGAAACCTTTGTTCTCGATGACTTGCGGCCTCCTGGAGGCATCTTGGGGCCCTCTCGGGCCATCTCGGGGATCGATCGGGCCGCCTCCGCCCGACCGGCAGCAGCAGGACTCCGAGCAGGGTCGTCAGCCGACCGCGGAGGAGGCCAGAGGCACTGCTGACCAGCGCGGCCAGGCTGCCGGCAGCCAGCCGCAGCCCGCCGCCGCCGGGGTCCCTCGCCGCCCGGCCCGGGGCCGCGGCGGCCGGCGCAGCGGCCGCCGAGGGTTCCTGTAAAGGGGCCTAAGCACACACATAGGAATACACACGAGTCCCAGGATTCCCCGCATTTCCCCCTATCTTCTGGACTTTCGTCTTCCCCCCCGCTTCCCAGATTTTCCTCTATGTATATAGATATATATATATATACACATACATACATACATACATACATACATACATACATACAGACAGACAGACAGACAGACAGACAGACAGACAGACAGACAGACAGACAGACAGACAGACAAACAGACAGACAGACAGACAGACAGACAGACAGACAGACAGACATGCATGCATGCATGCATGCATTTCCCCTTTCCTTTATTTTTACAATCCGGGGGGTGGGACCTCCCCCCCGGGCCGGACCTTCCGGAATCCTTGGCTTCTGGGGCTCCTGGACGCCCTTGCCGAGGGTCCCATGAGACCTCTGGGCTGCTGGGAGCCCCTGCCAAGTCGTGCAAACGAGCCGGCGGTAATTAGCCCCACGAGGGTCCAACATGACCTCCTGATGGCCCGAGAGACCTTCCAAACGCCCCAAAGAGCTCCAAGAGGAAACCCCCAAGTGAGCCTCCAAATCCAAAGCCTGCGCTTTTCCTATAGGCTTTTGAACCTACCTCGCTATTGACCACCCTCGCTTCCAAACGGGAACCGGCCAATACCAACCTGCTCGCGGGCGACCCGACCACGATCGCGGGTGTCAAAAAATGATCGACATGCCCGCCGATCTTACCTAGTTTCGCAGCGCGCACCCAACACTCCGCACTGGCGATCCACAGAACTCCTAAGCACTGTCCCAGACGACGCAAGGTATCGTACCAAACGACGCTCTGGTACAATTCCCCCAAAAAACTATGTATTATACCAAGTTTTTCGGTATCGTACCAAGTGCACTTCGGCCGGGCCCGCATGTGTAAAATTGCACTACAAACGCAAACTTGGTATAATACCAAACGCGTTTGGTACAATACCAATGTTTCTGGTATTCTACCACATTTTTCATGTACCGTACCGGAAAACGCCTTGGTACAACATCGAGGTTTTCAGGTACCAAGTCACTTCAGTACGATAACTCGCGTCGTACTGGACTATATCTAGGAATTCAATGGTTTGTCAATGCGATGCGGTGGGGGGCGCTGACTCGCGAGCTGCCGCGCACGGTGTGCATGGTATGACTTGGTTTTGCTTGGAAGCGAAAGCGAGGGAGGAAAAAACTCCTCTGAATTATTTGGGCATTATCATTTTTTCGTACTACCGACGCCCCAGGAAGGCCCAGAAGGCCCCCAACATCGCCCCAGGACAACCCATGACGGCTAGTGAAGGCTCCAAGACGGGCGAAGATGGCCCCACGATCCCCGAAGAAGGTCCCAAGACGGACCTTCAGACCGCCACCAGGCGCGAGCCCTCGGGCACTCAAGGACCCACGAAACTGCCAACAAGCGCCCAAACGGCCCAACCAGGGTTCACGAGGTCCCCAATAAGACCGAAAATAAACCAAAGGGGGCTCCAAGTTATCTCCAAAACCAAAAACATTGTTTCCGCAACGACCCCGAGACGCCTCCCCACAGACCCAAACACATCGAACAGGCCTTTGACGTACGACCCCGCATTGGCGCCCTCGTCCAGCACTTCCACCAAATATGTCCGAATCCCAATCTTGCGACGTTTCCTCCAGGCACCTGGGTAGAGAAGGACGAGGGGGAGGAGGAGCAGGAGGAGGGGGATGATGATGATGATGATGATGATGATGATGATGATGATGATGATGATGATGATGATGATGATGATGATGATGATGATGATGATGATGATGATGACGATGAGGCGGAGGAGGAGGAGGAGGAGGAGGAGGAGGAAAGGGAGGAGAAGGAGGTAGGGCTTGCGCCGCGGAAAAGGTGAGGCCTCGAGGAGGAGGATGAGGAGGAGGGAGTAGGAGGATCGGGCAGTGCCAAGGGGGATCACCACTAGGGACGGTCACCACTTCCTTCGTGGACCTCAAAACGAAGAAGGGAAAGAGGATACATCAGGGAAGGGTAACGAATGGCATTATTATGGGGACGATGTCGGACAAGACAACGAGGACTTATCGCCAGGTTGTATGATTTACTTTCCTGCCCTTCCGCCGCGACTTCCGCCTGCATGCCATATTTCAAGGACCAAGGTGCATGGCGCGAAGCGCCAACGCAATCTTGTACATTCCTATTCTTATAATTTACTACCCGGAGCCCCCCCACCCCCCCCACTCTAAACCGACCCCCCCCCCAGGGACGCTCTGGACACCCTTTCGGAAGTCTCGGCGGCCCCCTGGACGCCCTTGGAAAAGGTCCAGTGGACCTTCCGGGCCTCCCAGGGCGCCTTGCCGGGCCTTGCGAGCCGACCCAAGGCGATCATGAGGGTCGTCGGAAAAGCGCAAGAGAGACCCAAGACAGCGCAAGAGCGCTCCAAGAAGAACCTCCATGGTCTGAAGACGGCCCAAGAGGCCCCCAAGACGCCCCAAGAGGCCGTTAAGAGAGCCCCGTAGAATCCAAAATCGTCCCATTCCCTTCAATATATATATATATATATATATACATACATACATACATACATACATACATACATACATACATACATACATACATACATACATACATACGTATATATATGTGTATATATATATATAGCATATCCGCTTTGAAAGTCTTCCAACGTCCAAGACGGCCCGATGGGCCCCTGATATCGCCCCAAGACGGCCCAAGAGGCCCCCCAATGGGTTTGAAGACGGCCCAAGAGGGCCCCAAGACTGCCCCAGAGAGCCCCGAGACTGCCCACAAGAAGCCCAAGATGCCCCCAAACGGTTCCCAAGGGACCCACGAAAGCCATGGGATACCCCCAAGACGGCCCAAGAAGCCCCCAGGACGGCCCAAGAGGGCCCCAGGACGGTCCAAAAGAGCCCCAAAAACGCCCAGACGGCGTTCTACTACGAAGTACATCGAGCTGACCCGACGATCTTGGTTCCACGCTTGAGGCTCGAGGTTTAATTTCCTCGATCGAGAGAGACAGGCAGTGGATCTAGATTCGACGATCGAAGATTCCCTCAATGCCTGAAACCCTCCAGGCATTCAGGAAGCGACCAGAAATCGATTTGTTCGGAGCTACGGCGACTTCTTCGGCGTGTCATGGGAACGCTCCTTACTTCCTCAAATGACCTTCGCGCGTGAAAAACTCATCATTCCTTCCCCACTCCTGCGCACCGCACAAGCGTCCAAGCGCATCAACCGAACGCGTTGTCAGCAGGCACCAGGGATATCAGAAAAATGAGCCGGTCGCCCGTCCAGGCCTCGAGATCCCCCTGCTGAAGCAAGCGATGATTTATTGTTTTGCCAGGAAAGCGTCCGGAAGCAGGCGCATGGCGCGAAGCGCCAACGCTGTCTTGTGTACATATATGTAGATATATATATATATATATATATATATAGATCAATACCTATATGTCTATATATATGTATGTATGCATATACATTATGTGTATACATATATATATATATACCTGGGGATCGATAATGAATGGTCTGTGTGTTTTCCCCTCCTGGTCCTGGGAGTCCAGCTGCCACTGCGCCCAGGCGACCTCCGCGCCCCCCTCGCTCTCTGCTCGGGTCGGCGACCAGGGGGGGCAGCCGAGGCTTCGGCAGCAGCTCACGGGAGCCCTCCACAATTACCACCCAGACCCCCTCGAGCAATGAGAAAATCACGACGGGAAGTTTTCCACCATTCTCGGCCTCTGGGGGACCTTGCCGGGCCGCGGGACCGTCAAAAAACGACTCGGGATGGAAAACCGGTCCCGGGGAATAGGTCGAAACCCCTAAGGGTCGACGTCATGAAAAAATCATGACGTCGGGGGTCTGGGTATACCGACGCTCTTTCTGGCCCTGCACTGAAACTCGTACAGAAGAGCGGATCCTGGCGGGAACGGGATCTTGGTGTACACATGTTTCGCTACTTCCCCGGGAAAGCGGGGAAAGAAATATACATCACACCACCCCGACGTCGTCCCCAACCTTCAAGAAGTTCCGGGATTGAAAAACAGCCCGCCACTGGTAATGTATACGCTGCAGTTTCCGATCTCGACCACTTCCCCAGGACCAGTCTGTGCTCCTCCCCAGTCGATTTTGACGGCCCCGCGGCCCAGTCGGGACACGGAGGGGCCGCAGGCCACGGCTGAGAAAAACCTCCGTCTCGATTTCTGCTCGAGATGCCCGCTGGCTGGGCCCCCCCAAAAATCGCCCGACCCGATCTCCGCCGCCACGGTGAGGTGGTACTCCACGGCCGCCCGGCGCGCCCGCCCGTTCGGCCAGCAGCACATCGCCTCCCACGGGCGCGGCGGCAGGGGTACGGAGACGTCCGCCGAGGCCCCGGGCGCCGTCTCCAGGCGCTCCAGGCCTCCTCCCGCGACTCTGACCCCGTCGGCGGTCAGATTCCAGGAGAAGGCGAGGTGGCCCAGGCTGACGAAGCTGAAGAGGTTCGTCACGCGCAGCCGACCCGCGGAGGGGTCCGCGGCTGCGAAGCCCACCGGCTGGTAGAGGCGCTTGGCCTCGTGCAGGTGCGGATTGGGGCGCCTGTTGGGGTGCATTAGGCCATTGAGATTGAAGTTGTAGTCTGTCGGCGTGTCTGGGGGTCCAAAGTCGCCGCCGTACGCGAACACCTGCGTGCCGTTGATGATAGTGAGTATCCCCTGGTCAACCCAGTCCCAGATGAACCCACCTTGCACAACACCATAGGAGTTTATGGCGTCCCAGTACTCCTTGAAACCTCCGAGAGAATTTCCCATCGCATGCGCATACTCGCACATGATCAGCGGAAGAGCGCTGGTATCATTCTCGTACAGCTCGCCATACTTGCGCAGCTTCTCCTGGCTCGGGTACATGGGAACGTAAATGTCAGTGTTGTGATCGATGGCTTCGAGGTTATCCGTGCTCCATCCCGGTTCGATTCGTGCGTTCTCATACTGCACGGGCCGTGTAGGATCTCTCTGTTTAGTCCAGTTGTACGTCAAGTGAAAATTCATGCCATTGCCCGCCTCGTTTCCAAGCGACCAGATAATGATCGACGGGTGGTTTTTATCTCGTTCGACCATTCGCTGCATCCTTGCCATGTGCGCGAGGGTCCACTCAGACTTACCTGCTAGCGTTTCGTTTTGCAAGAAGCCCATGCCATGGCTCTCAATGTTCGCCTCGTCCACCACGTACAGTCCGAACTCGTCACAGAGTTCGTACCAGAGCGGGTCGTTCGGGTAGTGCGCATTCCGCACGGCGTTCATGTTGTTCTCCTTCATGAGCCGAATGTCCTCCTTCATCAGCTCCGGAGAGATCACATGGCCGGTGTGCATGTCGTGCTCGTGGCGATTGACCCCAGCGACCCTGAGGATGGCCCCGTTCACCCACAGGCGGCCGCCGCGGACCTCGACGCTGCGAAAGCCGACCCCGAAGCGCAGGGCCTCCGCTGTGGCATTGCCCACGGCCAGCGTGACCAGCAGAGTGTAGATGTACTCGGAGGCGGCCGTGGGATCTGAGCTGCACGGGCCCCGAGGAAATCGGTCGGGACGGGGGGAGGAGGAGGAGGAGGAGGAGGAGGAGGAGGAGGAGGGAGGAGGAGGAGGAGGAGGAGGAGGAGAGAGGAGGAGGAGGAGGAGGAGGAGGAGGAGGAGGAGGGGGGAGGAGCAGGGGGGAGGGCGAATCCGCTTAAGATCGGTGCCCGGACACCTCCTGCGGTCCATCTGGCGCAATGATTCACCCCGGATTCGTTCCTCATCGAAAACGGCCCCTGGAGGCCGAAAGAGACAAAACGTCTTCTCGAGTCCAGCACCTCGAACCTCGCCCCCCCCCCCCCCCTTCCTGCTTGCCAGAGCCAGTGCTGGACCGCCTCGGGCCTTGGAGGCCTCCCCAGACTAGATGGGGTCCGAGTAGATGGGGCCGGAGGATCGCGCTGCATAGCCAATGCATCGCCGACGCATCGGCGCCATCGGCGCGGAGAAACGCTGGCTCCACATCGAGCTGCATCGCCGATGCATCGGCGATCAATGGGAAGCACATGGACATACTAGTACTGCATGTCCTCCTTGGAGGCGCGTGTCCGACCCGAACAGATAGTATACCCATCTGGTAGTATATCGTTTTCCGAGCGGCGTGGCCAGAAAGCGCCCGCCACGACGCATGTACTACAAGATTTCTCGGTGCGTGCGTCGCCCCTGGGGGGGCGACGCACATGCAATATAGAAGTATGTTGGGGTGACGCCGAATCCACGTGATCCTCCGATCCCGTCCACTCGGACCCCAACCGGGAGGCCTGGAGCGCCCCAGCCGGCTCCAAGGAGGTACGGTCTCTCCGCGCTCCACGGCCTGGCGCCGTCGACGCGCGCCCTGGCCGTGTACCTCGCCGACACTCCTGGGGAGCAGAGAGACAAACACGCTCATGAGAAGCTCCCCGACGAGCGACGCCGCTTGTGAGCGTTTTGTTTTTCGGCGTTTCGACATTGGGGGCGGGAGGGGAGGAGGGGGTCTGGCTCCGGACCTCTGCGTAGTGCGACTGTTTGCAGCAGTGCGTCCTATGGGGAGACGCCAGCTGCTCGAAACAGGCGCCCAAAACAGCCAAAACTACTATATCCCATGGGAGGGGGAAGGGGGGGGCGAGGGCCCGCGCCGATCGGCGAAAAACGAAGAAGAAAACGATCCCCATTCAGTAAACGCACCCAAGGGGGGGGAATCGAACAGGACAAGGCTGCTCAGTGTAAACGCCCATGAGCAGCTTAGCAGACGCCAGAGCCCAAAAGTGTTCTAAGACCTGTTCTGACTTAGAACATAATAAGCCCGATGTGTTGAAACAAGACGGCCTCAGCCAGAAATGTTCTGAGAACAAGCCGTGCAGACCACACAAGAGGTGCTTAGAACATCCTTTTGTGGGCCCAAAAGGCGAGCCAGGGCGCTCCGCCACCGCTTGACATCGGGGTGGTCGGGGTGACTTCTCTAGGGGGAAAACAAACCTACCTCGCTTTGGACCACCATCGCTTCCAAGAGATACCAAACTACGGCCTGTACTGGCCAGGCCGCTTGACGAGGAGGCGCGTGGTATGACTTGGTTTTGCCTGGAAGCGAAAGCGGGGTAGGTAATTCACGCTCCGATTCTCCCTCCCCTAAGACCTCCGCCGCTGCCCTGGCCGACCGCCCGCACCTCCAGCGGCAGCACGGCTCCGCCGCCGGCCGCGGGGGCCCTGCCGGGCCGGGCGTCCACGAGCTCGCAGGCGAGCGCCAGAGGGCCCGGGGGGCCGCCGTCCTCGATGTTCTGGCCGGGCAGCAAACGACGACACGAGCAGGACCGTTCGGAGGTCCGCGCGGACTTCTCGGATCGGCGCCGGGGGGGCCCCCCGGCGGCGCCTCCAGCGCCACCCCTGGCGCGCCCCGCGCGCCAGGGGTGGGGGTTCAGCGCCGATCCAAGGAATCCGCGCAAACTTCCAAAATATGAATTATGTTTCTGTCATGTTTTGCTCCCCGATCAAGTCCATCGCGACGTCGAGGTCACCCTCGGCCGTGGCGCGGATCTGGACGTCTCGTACGTGGCTCCGAGGTCTTTCCGGCGGCGCGCAGGAGGAAGGGAGGGCGGGGGCGGACTTCCAAGGAGGCCCCCCGCACACGCACACACACACACACACACAGACCTCATCGGAAGCCCTCCTGCTGTCGAAGGGGCCTTCCTGGAAGGCTCCGAGGAGGAGAGAGAGAGAGAGAGAGAGATGGAGGGGGGGGGGGGGGGCGCAATCCCCTCCGAGAGGGCCTCGTGCCCTCTCGGGAGGCCGCCCCAGGATGCCCCAAGAGAGCGCTCCAAGAGGACCTCTCCAGGACGCCCCGCCAGGAGGTCAAAAAGCACTGATGTCCAAAACGTTTTCCGATGGCTGGCACGCTCCTCCTCCTCCTCCTCCTCCTCCTCCTCCTCCTCCTCCTCCTCCTCCTCCTGCCTTGTCCGGGGCTTCCGCGGGCCCAAGATGGCCCAAGAGACCCGCTCCCTCATCGCAGTGGCCCCCCCACCCCTGTGCGCGCCGCCGCGTCTGGCATACAGGTACACGTCGCGGGTGATGCCGCTGAGCCGCCACATGTCCTGGCCCTCGAGGTACGAGGCAGCACTCCACGCCGAGACCTCCATCGCGAGGACGTTCGCGCCGCTCGACAGCGACCGCGTGACGCGGAACTCCGCCGCGAGCTTGGAGTCGGTGCTGAACCTCGGGAGGAGAGCAAGGAAGCGGGATAGATCCCATAGCAATGACGTCGCGATCTTGACGCGACGTGGGGTCCCGGAACTCTCGGCCCCTTTCCCTGGGGCCCGCTGTGCTTCCTGGGTCGCTGTTTGATTATCCTGGAGCCCAGACCTATCCATGGCAAAGACTGTCGTCGCCACTATTCGCGACGCCAGGGGGATCTGGGGAGGAGGAGGCGGAGGGTGCCGAACCCCAGCTCGTGGCCGTTCAGCCAGACCTTGCACGCCGACGTCACCGCCCCGATGTGCAGAAAGATCTCGTAGCCACTCTGGAGCCAAGATTCTGGGGCCTCGATAGGGCAGGAGGAGGAGGGGGAGGAGCAGGGAGAAGCAGGCAGGAGGAGAAGGAAATGGCCTCGAAAGAGTGGCGGTACACCCCCGCGGGATTGTAGTCCTTGTCTTTTCCCTGGTAGACGATGAGCGGAGGGTTGGGCTCGACGGGACAGGGAACTCTGGCCTGCACCACGAGCCTCTTTGCAGGCCTGATCTGGGTCATACTTCCATGATTTTTGACCCCACGGCAGCCACGACAGAAGAACGAACAACACAAATCATGGACATCCAAGTTCGGAGGGCCGCGCAAATTCTTGAGTCTGCGCTGGGCCCAACCTCGCTGGCGCGTGGAGCGCGCCAGGGGCTGCGCCGGAGGCGCTGCCGGAGAGGTCCAGGAGCCGATACGATAAATCCACGCGGGCCTCCGAAAGGTTCGGTTCATGCAGCTGCTGTTGCTCTTCGGATGGAGGCCATGCTGCCGTAATTCCACAGCTTGCCACCACGATCTGGGCCCCATTCGGGCCTTCGGAGGCTCGGTGGTGCTGGTCAGGTCTTCCTCTCCCCCGCTCGAACGGGTACTGCACGTTCACGTAGATGGCGAACCCCTTTCCGTTCAGCTCCCAGTTCCCTGGCACCTAGATCGATGAACCTCAGAACGTGCGTTGTCGCCAACGCGCGCCTGTCAACCGAAGCCTCCAACACGACGCAGGCGCAATAATGAGGACCGACACGGGCTGCTTGCTATCGAGGAAGCGGCACGGAGTAACCAGACATCAGGCTAACACGCGTCCTGAAGATCATCAACTAGAAGACCAGCCGAAAGCACACGAATACATGTGCAAACGTTTGAACACACACATGCGTTCCCCAGCGAGTGGGGAAAAAGCCCCAGGATCCTCTTTGCCCGTCGGGCCGGTGGCCCTGGACCCGGGGGGGGGGTGTGAGGCAGGGGTGGCTGGTCGGCTTCCTCGCGCGCAACAGGACGTGCTCGGAGGCGGCGATCGAAGACGCGCCCGGCGCACGCACACGTGGCACGTGCCCTCCCTCACGGGGGGGGGCATCTGGCACGTGACTTCACGAGGCAGGGGGCATGGAGGAGGACCGACCCCCAAACAGCCCCCCCGGCGACTGCACTGGAGGCTGGACCTGGTCGGGGGGTGCTCAGGGTGCCCCGAGGCTCAAGGTGCCCCCAGCTTCTCGCTCCATGTTGGAGCCCCTGGGGCCCTCTGGGCCTCGCGAGGGGTGATCTGGAGGCCGTGGGGCCTCCTTGGGAATCCTCGGGGCACCTTGGGCCGGGGGTACTTCTGGCAACACCCGACCTGGGGGCGCTGGCCTCGGACGGGGTTAGGACGAGGATACATCCGCTCCAGAGCGCTCCAGTCCAGCAGGCTCTCAGAGCATTCCGGAACGCTGTGAGAAGGCAGCGAAGCCCGAGACATCTTCCAGAGCCACTGGATCTCAGAGATTCTCGATTTAGCCTCATCCAATTTCGATCAACCGAAAAATGATCCCTAATCGTTTGGGCGGGGATCTAAGTTAGGAGGGCCCAAGACATTGAGGATTGGGGGTCGTATCAGCCCAAACCGCCCAGAATCAGCATCCGCAATGCGAAGACGGGGACCTAAGTGAGGCCACGTCTTCATCGTGATATGAGGGTTAGGGGCTCTTTTGTCATCGATGGATCGGCGGCGCGTGCCTCCTCCTCCCCCTCCTTCTCCTCCTCCTCCTCCTCCTCCTCCTCCTCCTCCTCCTCCTCCTCCTCCTCCCCTCCTACTC